CGGCCACATTAGGGGCATTTAAGCGGCTATTACGTAAGCATATGGATGATAGTAATAAGGTAGGGGTGGAGGTTAGATAGACCTTAGGTTTAGGGTAAAAGTTTGGCACAACATCGTGGGCCAAAGGGCCTGTACTGTGGTGTACTTTTCTATGTTCTATGATAGTAGCATGATTGAATGTCAAGGAGCGATGGTTAGATTCTCTCTTGTTGGAGATGGTCATTGTCTGGCATTTGTGTGGTGTTATTCTCACTTGCCTTTTGTTAGCGCAAGCCTGGATGTTGTGCAGATCTTGTTGTATTTAAGCATGGACTGCTTCAGTATCTGGGCGTTGTGAATGATTCTGAACTTTGTGTAATTATCAGTGAATGTCCCACTTCTGACCTGATGATGGAGGGAACGTCATTGTTGAAACAGCTGAAGATAGTTGGGCCTAGAACACTTCCCTGAAGAACTCTTGCAGAGATGGCCTAGAGCTGAGATGACCGACCTCCGACAACCAGCACCACCTTCCTATGTGCTAGGGATTGCTCCAAACAGCAGAAAGCTTGATTTCTGATTCCCATTAGTTACCAATTTGCAAGGGTTCCTTGATGCTAACCTCTGTTGTATATGGCCTTACTGTTAAGACTGTCACCTACCTCAGGAGTTCAAATCTTTTGTCCATGTTTGTATCAAGGCTGTAATGAAGTCAGAAGGTGTGTAACTCTTGCAGAACCCAAACTAGGCATCGTACAGCAAGTTATTGCTGATCTGGTGCTGTGTGATAGCTTGTTTGATGACACTTTCCCCTCAACTTCATGGTAATCGAGAATTGCTTTTGGTTTGCGGGACATATTTGGGCAATTCTCCACATTGGCATATAGATGTATATAGGATGGGCCAAAGGACTAGAAGGTAATAATGACATTCGACAGCTGTGTAGGAAAATAGATTGTACAGGATGGGAAAATAGGCTGGGAAAGATAATGATGATACTTGATAAGCTGCATGACCTTGAATGCGTCCTGTGAACATTCCTTTATGGGCTGAAGATGGCACCTGCAGCATGTTTTTGTTTTCTCTGTCACTGTTCTTTTTCTGTACCAGCCAGCAGTTTTGTCCATTGTATTTGCTGTTTTCTGTGCTGGCTATTTGTCTCACTATATAAAAGAGAGAGAGAGTTTCATTCCAAGCTGCTGGACCTCACCTCGGCTCAGAATTGTGAATGGTGCCAGGAGTGAACTTAAGCCTCTGGACCAGCCATCGATCGAGGGGCTGCAAACGGGCAGGAGGACATGAGACTTGTGGCTTTTTTCTAGAAGGGTGTGAGACTTGTTTTTTGTTTTCCTTTTCTCTTCCATTTATTAATTTATTATTACCACTATAAACATTTATTATTACTTAATAAACATTCATATTTAAGCATACTGCTGTTGTCCAGTCTTTTCTAAATAATATTTACTGGAATCCGAAAAGAAACGCTTGGATAACGTGGTGATCCTAGACAAGATACCACTTTTGTAGCAGTGCTGGAACATAAGTCTATTGCAGAAATGCAGGCAGGGCTCAAAGCCTTTCCAGCATCCAATGCTTCCAACAATTTGTTGTTATCACATGGAGTGAATCAATTTGGCTGAAGTCTGATATCTGTGATACTGGGAACCATTGAAGGAGGCCAAGATGGATTATCTATTCAGCACTTCTGGCTGAAGATTGCTGTGAATGCTTCAGCCTTATTTTTTGTACTGATGTGCCGGGCTCTTCCATTAGTTAAGATGGAGATATTTTTGGAGCCTTTACTTCTGGTGTTGCTAATTGTTTAGCATAGTTCCAGAGCAGCAGAGTTTATATCTGGTTGTTGAATCTGTTAGCTCTGTCTGTCACGTGCTGTGATACTGTTTGACATGCAAGTAGTTCTGATACTCCAGCTTCACCAGGTTGACACCTCATTTTCAAGGATGCTGATGCTGCTTGTAGCATGTCATCCTGCATTCTCCATTGAACCAGGCTGATCCCTGGCTTCAGTGTAATGGTTGAGTGGACGATATAACAGGCCATAAGGTTGCAGCTTTTGCTAGAATACAATTCTGCTGCTGCAACCTATAGTATCTCATGGATGCCCAGTCTTGAGTTGCTAGATCTGTTAGTTTTATTACTTTTAAAATTGTTATGGAAAATAATAGACCTGATCTTAAAGTTAAATAATCACCCAATTGTTCTGAATCTTTCCTGTTATTTAACCAAACTTAAATCCATGCTGACAGAATATCTACAACCCACAAACTCTGCAATGGTTTGTGGCACATGACCATGTACTTAGATTTCCAAATGAAAAGTAGTGCTCACTTCATCTGCTGCTTCCCTTTTATCAAACTTGCTTGTAACCTTCTCAGCAAGGTCTATGTATGGCATTGTATAAAGCTCCTTCTGGAAATCAGTATATACCACATCAATAACGTTACTCATCAAGTCTGTTACCCTTCAAAAATAATGAAATATTTTGCACATTAAAAGTAACTTGTACAATGTCTGTTAGTGTGTATGCATATTGTAATGGTTATGTGTATTTGTTTCTAACAGCAGAATCTTGTGGATTCAGCATAATGATTTACATGGAAAGTACAAAGAGACATAAACTCACTGGTGGAGGGGGATCCCATAAACATTCCCTTCTCATTGATGGAAAAAGATAAGGCTGAGGCACTTACAGCAGTCTTCAGCCAGAAGTACCGAGTTACTGATCCATCTCAGCTTCCTCCAGAGGTCCCCAACATCACAGATAGAGTAAATCAAATTGGCTGAAGTCTGCTATGGTTAGAGGTAGTAGACACACAATGCTATGGGCCCTGACACCACTCCAGTATTAGCACTGCGCTCTAGAACTTTATGCTCCAAATACAAAACTATTCTAATAGTTATAAACACTGCGTCTACCCAATACTGTGGAAACTTGCCCAGGTACGTTCTGCACACGAAAAGCAGGACAAACTCAATCCAGTCAATGATCATTCCCAATCTACTCTCAATCATCAGTAAAGTGATGGAAGGTGTGTGTAATCACCAGTCTTAACAAGCAGCACCAGTTCAGCTATAACCTGCTCAGCTCCTGATCTCATTTTGTCAGGGATCAAACATTGACAAAAGAGCTGATTCCCAGAAGCAGATAATGGATAGGAAGGGGATTGCTGGTGGAAGTGTTTCTGAAAACCCCAAAAAGAATCTGTCTGACTGCAGTTACTATTTCACAGGACACTACTTGTAGCACAAATTCACAGAATTGTTACACTTTAGGAGGTGGCCATATGGCCCAATATGCTTGCACCTGTTCTAGTTCTTGGTGCCAATCTCCTGCCTTTTCTTGATATACATTTTGATTAAAAAATAATCCAGTGCCCCCCTCAAATGCCTCAATTGAGCCTGCCTCTGCCACATTTCCAGGCAGTGCATTCCTTCTCCAACTAATGGCTCTTATCCTTGCTTCTTTCGTATCTTACTTTACATCTATGCCCTTGTGTTCTTGTTCCTTTAACACACAGGAACAGCTTCACCCTATCTACCCTGCTCAGGGTTTGAGCACCCGATCAAATCTCCTGTTCTCTCCAGGGAGAGCAGTCCCAACCTCTTCAAAATATCCACAGAACTGAAGCATTGTATTTGGGAATCATTCTTGTAAATCACTTCTGCCCTCTCCCCATTGCATTCACACCTTTCCTATGATGTGGCACCCATAACTATACACAATACTCAAGCTGAAGTCTGACAAGTATCTTGTACTCATTCCCCATTAATAAAACATCGTTCGCTTTATTTATTACTCTCTACAACTGTTGCACAGCCTTCAATAATCTGTGCAGATATACCCTTAGGTACCTGTGCTCCTGCACCCCCTTTAGAACTGCCCCTCTCCCAATTTATATGGACTTTGAAATGTCCTCATGACCAAAGTGTATCACCTCACTTCTCAATTGACCGTCATCTGTCACCTATCAATGCGCTCAACCAATACCTTTTGGCATTCCACACTCTTCCAAAGTTCAGTGTCATCTACTAACTGTAAAATAGTCCTGTGTACAGCAAGATCTAGATACACATCACGTGGAACTCCACAACAAACTTTTGTAGCCTGCAAGAACAAAAAATCCTTTGACCATTACTCTGCTTCCTAACGCTAAGCCAATTTTGTCTCCATGTTGACACTGTCTCTTTCATACCATAACCTATAAAAATTTGCTCACATGTCTGTGTGTGGCATTGTATAAAGCTCCTTTTGGAAATCAGTATGTACCACATTAGTGTTACTCATCAAGCCTGTTACCCCTTCAAAAGAGAAAAATTTTGAATGTTAAAAGTAACTTGTACATGCCTGGTAGCTTGTATGCATATTCTAACTTTGAACATTTGTGTATTATTTGTTTCAAACAGCAGAATCTTGTGGATTCATTCAGCGTAATGATTTACATGGGAAATACAAAGAGGTAGAATTCAACACCTTCAAACCGTGAATTATTTCTTCCCTTTCTTTCAGTTTGTTACTTTCCGTTATCACATCTTCTCTCCTCCCCCCCCCCCTCCCCCCCCCCCCCCATCATCCCAGTCGAATGGTCTGTCTTTCAAGTCTGGCAGAACAATAATGGTACTCCTGCCATTCTCACATACTGATCACAATCTGAACTATCAACATCTTTTCGCCACCAGCACCCTACAGCCACTACTCCCCCATGCGCTCCCCAGAACTACAGCATAAATGCTGTCTCCTCCACACTTCACTTCAGCTCTGAAGAAGTCATCTCATCTAGACACTAAACATTAGCTTGCGCTCTCTCCACAGATACTGCCTGACCTGCTAGATCTCTAGCATTTACTGTTTTCAGTACGGATTCAAGCATCCGCAGTAATTTGCTCCTACGTTTTGAGAATAGAGTCCTACTGTTACATAAGCTGTCACAAATACAGAAACCAAGATGATCAATTTTCCAAACTGACCGCTATTCAGGACAAAAGCAATTCACACCATATCGTCATTTACACAAAATAATGCTTTATTTTAAACACAACAATTATTTAACAAATGGCAGACAGAAATGACTAATGATCTACTACTATAGGACTTGATCTACACCCCTTTGAAATGCCCATTACTCATTTACACACAATCAGTCATTCTCAAATGATGTGTGTGTCAAACTGTGTCTTAGGTGTGGTAAATATAGACATGGAAAATAAAATTCTGAAGACCAGGAGACCAGATCACAAGGAAGGGTTAAATGATCTCAATTTCTTTGGATTTTAGCAATGTTGATACACAGTTGCACCTTAAAAGTGATGGTTGCTCTTTTAATCAACAACAGATCAGTTGGACCTAGGTCTTTACTTGCAATTGAACTGACTTGATAAATATTCACGTTTTTTCCTTTCATCATTTCACTCACATTGAGAGGAGGGAGAAAGATGATTTCTCCTTGGTGGCTGCAGTGCTTCCCTAGTTTGTAGCAAGGCACAGCTTGACCAATCCAAGGCCTGTCACCAGGCAGCTTTTCTTGAACTGAAAAATGCCTGTTGCTGCTCATTAATGCATCAACCTCCCTGACTCAAATCTTACTGAAGATTGTCTAAGTATCATTATTGTTGAGTTTCTTAGAGGGTCCCCTTCTGCAAAGCCTAGCAGACTTTCTCCCACTATCGTCCTAAACTTGCTTCACAAACATGCATCTGTCCCTTATGGTAACCTGCTTGTCACATCCACCCACTTGCTACAGGGAGAAAATACTGCATCTCTTGGGATACTGTGTTCAAATCTGGTCTCCCTGCTATTGGAAAGATGTTGTAAAACTTAAAAAGGGTTCAGAAAAGATTTACAAGGATGTTGCCAGAGTTTGAGGTTGAGCTATAGGGAGAGGCTGAATAGGCTGGGACTATTTTCCCTGGAACTTCGGAGGCGAAGGGGTGACATTATAGAAGTTTATAAAATTGTGAAAGTCTTTTCCACAGGGTAGGGAGTCCAAAACTAGACAGCATAGGTTTAAGGTGAGAGGGGAAAGATTTAAGAGGGATTTAAGGGGCAACTTTTTCCATAGAGGGTGGTGCATGTATGGAATGAACTGCCAGGGCAGGTGGTGGAAGCTGGTACAATTACAAAATTTAAAAGGCATTTGGATGGGATATGGGCCAAATGCTGGCAAATGGGACTCGATTAATTTAGGATCTCTGGTTGACATGGACGAGTTGGACCGAGGGGTCAGTTTCAATGCTGTACATCCTTCCAACTCTATGGCTATAATAGTCCATGATGTGTAGATGCAGGTGTTGGACTGGGCTGAAAAAAATTCAGAAGTCACATGAATTTCAGCATTTCTGAAGAAGGGTCCAGGCCCGAAACATCAGCCTTCCTGCTCCTCTGATACTGCTTGGCCTGCTGTGTTCATCCAGCTCTACACCTTGTTATCTCAGAAGTCACATGACACCTGGTTATGGCCCAACAGGTTTATTTAAGATGACAAGCTTTCGGAGCATCAGGTGATGAAGGGGTTACGCTCCGAAAGCTTGTCATCTCAAATAAACCTGTTGGACTATAACCTGGTGTCATGTGACTTTTAACAGTCCATGGAATTCTGCCATGTCAACCATCACAGTGCAGTACAGGCCTTCCACCACCAGTCAGCACTGTTTAGGTTTATCCCCCCCACGCCCCGGACCTGGTGCTGGTGCTGTTGACTTAAGGGGCACCCTCGCACCAGAAAGGGATGCTCTGCATTCCAGGTTAATTTCAAACAAAGATGCCAACATGTTCCTGACCTGAAGACAACAGCAACTGGTCTTCAGATCCACGCAATTAAGCGGCTCGAAGAAGAAAACTGGCATCAGCAAACAAGAGGCACAGCAGCTTGTGATGGGCGAAGGGCCCGTCAGTCTTGCCCCTCAGCGACATCAGGGTCAGCAGGCTGGTAAAGGTCAGTGTCCAGTGGATCCTGATCCGGGTCTGGCTCACTGGGATTACTCTGCCTCTCGGCCTCCTCATCGGACTGGTCGGAATTCTCATCCTCCAGGTAGCGGTAGCCCTTAGTCTTGTGCTGGGGTTTGGGGATACGGGGCAGACGGAAGGGGTCCCGCCGTGCCAGTTTGCGCTCCATCCACAGATACGAGGCGATGGCAATGACCAGAGTCACCAGCATGATCGATAACTTCACCTGGAGAAGGGGGGTGTGGTGGGGAACGACACCGTGAGTAGGGTTAGCTCCACAGCCACATTCTCTTGATGCTGTCCCCAGCCAACATTCCAGATCAGGGATAGCATGGGGTTAGATACCGAGGAAAGCCCTGTCTACTCTCAACCTGAAATTTGAGCTCCCTCTCTACTAAAGTTCCTTCAAGTCTGTCCCTATCAAATACTTCCAGGACAGGGACAACGCGGTATTAGATAACATGTCAAGATGTTTTCACTCTATTAAGCCGAAAGAAACACTTCCTCGACACCGTCTCAAACAAACACTCCCCCAGGACAGGGACAGCATGGAATGAGATACAGAGTAAAGCCTCCTCTACACTGCCACATCAAACATGGTCAGGACAAGGACAAGGACAGCACAGGGTTAGATACACAGTAAAGCTCCCTGTGCCGTGTCCACAAACACTCCCAGGACGGAAGCAGCATGGGGTTAGATACAGAGTAAAGCTCCCTCTACACTGTTCCACAAAGACAGGTTTCCAAGCAGTTTGTCAAAACCTTTGAACCCCACAATATGAATAGCCTGGTATCTCCCAAGCTAACTGTGGTGCCAGCCTGTGGGACCTGCCCCCTCTCTACAGGCGTCAGAAGGTGGGCTGATGGACTCACTGACCTTCATGTGGGCTCCTGACCAGAGGTACACCATGAAGATTGCAATAGCTTGCCACCAGTGGTAGATGGAGAAGATGAAGTCCTGTCTTTCTTTGTCCTCATACAACATTCCCAACAGAGCTGGAGGAAAGATGGAGGGAAGAGAGTGAGGGTAGAGGCCGAACAGTAACCTGGATCCCTGTTAAATACACAGACATGCGTGGAGACCATTCTCCCCAATACCCGATCTCGCCTGTCCCTGCTCCCCTTCCCGATCTCTCCCCTTGACCCCATTTCACACCTCTCCCCTCTGCCCCAACCCCTTCCTTTCTTATCTTTCTCCTGCTCCCCTTGCCCTCCTTTAAATTCATTAACAGGATGAGGGCATCACTGACCAGGCAACATTTATTGCCCATTCCAAATTGCAGTTCAGAGTCATCTGCATTGCTGTGGGTCTGGAGTCACATGTAGGCCAGACCAGGTAAGGACGGCAGTTTCCTTCCCTAAAGAACATTAGTGAACCAGTTCGGTTTCTCGCAACAATTGACACTGGATTCATGGTCATCATTAGATTCTTAATTCCGGATATTTTATTAAATTCAAATTCGACCATTTGCCATGGCGGGATTCAAACCTGGGTCCCCAAAATGTTATCTGGGTCTCAGGATTAACAGTCCAGCGATAATACCACTAGGCCATTGCCTGTCCTTGACAGATCAGTCCTATCTGTTCCCACCCTGAACATATACTCACTGGCAAGGCTGGTCTTGTTCAAGGCCGTGCCAAGCCCCCACAACACAGCCACACCATAGACGCCCAGCAGGCTGGTAGTATGGCTCTTCTTGGGGCTGGGGGCCCAGCAGAAGAGGGTGATGATCAGCACGAGCTGGACAGTGGCACCCGATAGCAGGGGCACCGAGCGGGCTACCCACAGCATGGAGAGAGACAGCAGCGAGAACACCGACGCGGAGACACCATAGGCGATGATGATACTGGCGAGATGCTCCAGCCCCAGCGAACACACACCGTACGACTGAGGGCGGGGGGGAAGAAAAGGAAAGAGATACTGTTTAGTGGGAAACCATTCCGCCAGGTGCACAGCGAGAGTGACATGCAGAGAACGAACAAAAGCACAGAGTGCCACTGCCTCCTTCTCCCACCATCTCCCGCCAGGAGAGGAGAGTCAGAGCTGTTAAAAAGAGACAACGTTGCCCCACTCACCAGGGCGAAGCCTGTGCAGGCGAACAGCACCTCGAAGCCACTGTAGATGAAGAAGGGCAGCAGGAGCCGCAGGCGGTAGTCCCGCATGTGTTTGAAGGGTAGTTGGAAGATGTTGCCCCAGCCAATGCTGCGCAGGTCAATCTCCTCGGTGGGCCGGTACGCGGGGCCGCAGAGAGTCAGCACCTACAACAGTGAGAGTGAGCGAGAGCGAGAGAAAATTCACCTAGTGATTCCCGCCCACAGTCTAACAGCTCTGGCAACCTCTTCAGAGCAGTCGAGTGTCAAGACCAGGGAGAACAGTCTGAAGGCAGGGGGCCAGAGAAGGAGGGGTCACAGTCAGATTGAGGGGGAACTGGGGTCATGGGTAGAATAGGAAGGTCAAGTGAAGGGTTACTGGCAGGGTGGGGCTGGGAGAGGAGGGGAGACAGACAGACAGGCAGGGAGGGAGGGAGAGACTGGGTTCAGGGTTCATAATCAACCATTACTTATTCTCTCAGACCTTCACCCATTCTCTCAAATGGTGTGCTATGTCACACTTCACTTCAGTCCATCTACACCTGCCTTTTACGTCAGTCACTCCAATCCTGCTGTCCTGCTCTCTTCCCTCTGACTCTCCCACTAATCTCTCATCCACCTTCAATTCTAAAAGACTAGAAGATACACAGTCAATCATTCAGCTGAGTGAACCTTCTCTAGACCATCTCCTTTCTTTAGATAAGGGGCTCAAAACGGTTCACAGTATGCTAACTCTTCTCTGACAAGTGCCTTGTACAAATTTCACCAAAACCTCCCTACCCTAATACGCTATTCCCTTTGAAAAAGGCAAACATTCCATTTGCCTTCCCTGCTACCCACTGAACTTGGATGTTAGTTTTCTGTGATTCAACACCTGCTATTGCTTATTGCATTCAAATAATATCCAGCTCCTCTAGTCTTCCTGCTAAAGTATACAATCTCATGTTTCACCACAATATATTCCATCAGAGAAGTGGGGCCTAGTGATGTTATCGTTGGACTGTTAATCCAGAGACTCAGGTAATGTTCTGGGGACCCAGGTTTGAATCCTGCCACAGCAGATGGTGGAATTTGAATTCAATAAACCTGGAAATAAGACTCCAATGATGACCACAAACCCACTGTCAATTGTCAGAAAAACTCGTTTTGCTCACTGACGTCCTTCAAGGAAGGACATTGCCATCCTTACCTGGTCTGGCCTACATGTGACTCCAGACCCACAGCAACGTGGTTGACTCTTCTGGGCAGTTACAGATGGGTAATTAATGCTGGCCCAGCCAGTGACATCCACATCCCATCAATAAATAAACAGCAAAATTTTCAACTCACTCACTTAACCTGTTCCTGTCTCTGCAGATTCTTTGCATCATCCTCACTATTTGCCTTCCCACCTAGTTTTGTATCATTCACAAACCTGCCTATTGTACATTTACTTTCCTCATCCAATTCAGTACAATAGGTTGCAAATAACTATGGTCCTAGTGCTGACCCCTGTGGCACCCCATTAGTTACAGGTTACCATCCTGAAAATGCCCCACCCTTCCTAATTCTCCATCTATTAGCTAGCTAATTATCCATACTAATATATCCCCTCCAACACCATCTCTCTCTCTTCCTGCCCTTCTAATGCAACCCAACCTTAACAAAATGCTTCCTGAAAACCTAGATGTACTACATCTAGTGCTTCCCTTTTGTCTATTCTGCTAGTTACCACCTCAAATGTATTCAAGATTTGTCAGGCATGGATTTCCCTTTCATGAAGCCATGCTGACTCTGCTTGATCATATTGTATGTATCTAAAAGATCTGCTATTACATAGAACTGTGCAGCACAGGAACGGGCCCTTCAGCCCATGATGTTGAGCCGAACATGATGTCAAATTAAAGTAATATCTTCTGCCTGCCTTTGGTCCATATCCCGTGATGCCATGCATATTCATGTGCTTATCTAAAAGCCCCTGAAATGCCCCTATAGTATCTGCCTCCACCACAACCCCTGGCAGTGTGTTCCAGACTCCTATCACTTAAAAAACACTTGACCCTCACATCACCTTTGAACTTTCCCCTCTCGTCTTAAATATTTCAACTGAGAAAATGGTTCTGACCATCAACCCTATCCGTGCATCTCAATTTTATAAACTGCCATCAAGTCTCCCGTCAGCCTCCGTCGCTCAAGAGAAAAACAACCCGAGATTTTCTAGCCTCTCCTTGGATCTCATACCCTCCAATCCAGGCAGTATCCTGATAAGCCTCTTTTGCACCCTTTCCAAAGCCTCCACATCCTTCCTGTAATGTGGTAATGGGAATTGAATGCAATACTCACTGTGGCCTGACCAAAGTCTTATAAAGCTGCAACATGATATCCTGACTCTTGTACTCAATTCCCCAACCAATAACAGCAAGCATGCCATGTACCTTCTTTATTACCCTATCTACTTGTGTAGTCACTTTCAGGAAGCTATGGACTTGAGCCCAAGATCCTTCTGTTAGTCCGTTATAAAAGACATACACTTTTTCCAATAACATGTTAACCTAACTGACCTATTTTTGTCTTCTTCCTTTTCAAAGGCTTAATTAGCAGTTTTCCAATCCTCTGGGACTTTTCCAGAATCTAAGGACGCCTGGAAGGTCACTACTAGTGCATCTACTATCTCGGTTGCCATTTTCTTCAAATGCCCAATGATGCATCCCATCCAGGAGACTCATTGGTCGTTAACCCCAGTAGTTTCTATCATAATATTTCATGATATTTACTGTGCTTTACAGTCATCCATGATTATTTAGTAATTCAGGAATACTATCAGTGCCTTCTCAGACTGATACAACATGTTTATTCAACTCCTGTCACTTTCTGGCTCCACGTTATTATTTCTCCAGCCTTATTCTGTAAGGGGCCAATGTTAACTTCAGTCTCCGCCATCCTTTGGATATCAAAGAAGCCCTTGCTGTCAATTTTGATATTACTTGAGAGTTTAGCCTCAAGCTTTACTCTTGTGCATTATTGTATTTTTGGACATCTTTTGTTCATTTCTAAAACTAGCCCAATTCTCTGACTTGCCAGTAATTTTTGCCACACTGCATTTTTTGTCTTTCAGTCTGATGTGATCCTCAACTTCTCCAGTTAACCATGGTTGGTTTGTCCCCTTCCTCACTGGAATATACCTTTATCGTGAGCCATGAACTGTTTCCTTATTCATCTGGGGAACTATTTCTCAACTGCTTTTTGTTGAAAAACCCATTTCATGGTCCACCGAGTCAACTTGGCCCTCATTCCTATGCAATTAACTGTATTCAAGTCCAGCACAACTGTTTCGTACCCAAGTTGCTCACTCTCGAGCCAAGTGTTAAATTCTACCCTGGGAGATATAAACTTCTGCAACAGCCTCCATCTTGAAACCCCTCCCCCTCCCCGTGCTCTTGCTCTCCATGTGGTGTCGTGGACGTACCAGTATCATAGCGACGAATGCAACAGCCATCAGGACACTCTCCACCACAATGAGGCTGATGCTCTGAGGCAGTTTCATCAACACAGTCTTGTTCAGACCCTCGATCAGTCCCTTCATCTCGGTGCCTGCCACCAAAACAAAAATAAAAATCACCATTCGCTTTGGCCACAGGTATCTTTCAGAGAGGGAGCATGAGAATGCACTTGCCTCCTCTCTCGATCACTTTTCTTCACCCGCACTTGTCATTACTGCCTGTGTCAGATGCACAGCCACTCGGTGTGCTCACGTGTGTCTCACTCTGTGCCTGACTATCTGTCTCCATCTCTCTTGCTCGATGCTAGGGTATGTGCCCGCACCTGCATGTCTGCTGTTCTCTCTGTGCCTGTGCATCTGTTTGCATCTCTCTCCCTCACTCGAGTGTCTCTGTGTCAGATTGGAGGCCTGTGACCAGTGGAACGCCAAGGATTAGTGCTGGGTCCACTATTTTGCATTTATATAAGTGATTTGGATGTGAACATGGTTAGTAAGTTTGCAGATGACACCAGAATAGGTGGTGTAGTGGGCAGTGAAGATGTACAATGTATAATGGGACCTTGATCAGATTGGCCAATGGGCCGAGGAGTGGTAAATGGAGTTTAATTAGGATAAACGTGAGTTGTTATATTTTGGTCAGGCAAGGCAGAGCAGACTTATACAGTTAATGGTAGGGCCCTGGGGAGTGTTGCCGAACAGAAAGACCTAGGGGTTTAGGTACATAGTCCCCCAAAAATGGCGGCAAGGGTAGACAGGGTTGTAAAGAATGCATTTGACACACTTACCTTTATTGGTCAGTGTACTGAGTGTAGGAGTTGGGATGTCATGCTGCAGATGTACAGGACACTGATGAAGCCACTTTTAGAATACTGCATACAACTGTCGTCATCCTGCTATAGGAAGGATGTTGTTAAACTTGAAAGTGTGCAGAAAAGATTTACAAGGATGTTACCAGGGTTTGAGCTGTAGGGAAGAGGCTGGATAGGCTAGGGCTATTTTCCCTGGAGCAGAGGCCAAGGGGCGGCCGTATAGAGGTTTATAAAAGCATGAAGGACATGGACAGGGCGAGTAGCCAAGGTCTTTTTTACCCTGGGTAGGGGAGTCAAAAACTAGAGAGCACAAGTTTAAGGTGAGATGGGAAGGATTTCAAAGGACCTAAGGGATAACTTTTTCATACAGAGGGTGGTGTGCATATGCCAGAAGTAGTGGTGGAGGCAGGTACAATTACAACATTCAAAAAGCACCTACTTGAGTACATGAATAAGGTTTAGAGGAATGTGGGCCAAATGGGATAGATCAGTCCTGGATATCTAGTCAGTACGGATGAGTTGGTCTGAAGGGTCTATTTCCACGTTGCATGCATATACTCTCACTCTCACTCTCACTCTCACTCTCACTCTCACTCTCACTCT